GACATCTGGAATAATTAAAAAATATAACTAAGCCTTGGCAAATATTTAGCCGAGCATATTTAGTTCACGGGCGTTGGCAAGGTCGAAGATTCACTTTCATAATTTGATACCAATATAATATTTTTTCATATATATATATATATATATATATATATATATATATATATATATATATATATATATATATATATATATATATATATATATTGTGTCATAGTTAATTTGACATTCTAAAATCACGTACCTTCTCCACGGCTAACTTTTGACTACGATCTTATGGGCCTCGGTTGCAGACAAATAAGCCCACCCTTCTATTGGTGGAGTATTATACACACATAGTTCTTTTGTTGTAGCTACAAATTTTTGTTGCTGAGAGCATGCATTTTTGCACAGGAAAAGTAATAGCTTGTTCTAGTGAGCCAAGTTTACGGTACACAGTATCCAAATTCCACATGGCTTTTATTTCCTCCACATATAAATGGCGCTTTACTAGCGGTTCCTTATCACCAAAATTGCGGCTCATCGATGCATTAGGTTCCTCCGAATTAAAATCTCCAATATAATGCGCGTAGTGGCGAGTTCCAGGATACTAACACAGGACATAACAGGCAGAAAATTGGCGTCCGTTGTAGAATAGCAAGTGGGTCGTGTAAGCAAGAAATCTGAATCCAAATAAACGCACAAGTCAGTTGAGCAGATACAAAATCGGTGTGCTGGTAAAAAATAGATAAATCGTCGTGTAATCAAGGAATCAGAATCCAAAAGAGAGAAAACAGTCGATAAAAGTTGATAAAAGCTACAATAATACACTTAACAGTAAGAGCACACATTCACGTAAGAAGAGCAACCAACGGCAGAATGCATAAATATTAGTACGTCATGCGATTTGACACTTGACAGAGAGATAGACTAGAGAAGTATAAAAATACCATAGAAGTATAATAATGTGACGCTATTCTTTGACATGGTCTTATGTTTTTGTCACATTTACACATATTTATATATGCTACGCATAATTATATAAATGTTCTTCTCTTAACAGTTCAATACTCTGAAAAATCGCTTGACCTCTGAACAAATAACATACAGACATTTAAAGGATGTTGACCAAGATCGCTTCCGGAATGAAATACTAGCTGTGGATTGTGAAAGTATCCAAAAATTACCTAATGTTGATGATATTATCTTACAGTAAAGTACAATTATTGTATCTCATTAATTAACATGCTCCTCTGAAAACAGCAATTAGTATCAAAGAACGTCATCATCCTTGAATGACTTTTAACGTTAGACAGATGATAAAAACCCGTAATGAGGCACAAAACCGAGCGCGTAAAACCGGCTTGGACAAACACATACAGCATTATACACATAAAAAAACTGGCTTATGTCAAATATTATATAAACGCAAATGCTTCAAAAACTAGTATTATGTGGAAAACATCTTGAGCAACATATTACTATTAAGACCGAAATGGAAATGTCACTTCCGCCAAACCTCTATGACGCTGAAAAAATCAATGACTTTATTATACGTGGAATTATACGTGTTAGAGCCATTCTGTAGTTATATTAGTAGTTGTAGCAATAATGGGTCGGCTCAACCGAGGAAGGACCACCCTATTACAGAATAACAGCGTAAAATAGTAGCTTAATGCTGCTGTGTTTCGTATGGTGAGTGTAGAGAACCGGAACATCTTAGTCCTCACGGGTGACAACGCATCTGCATTTCGATTTTAATCGAGGATAGATGTAGATGTCTATGGGCCGCAGCAACCACTTACCATCAGGTGGACTGTGTTCTCGTTTGTCACCCTATCCTATAAAAAAAAACTTAGTTTTAAAGGTAACTGATAAACATTCTGGTATTTTTTAAAAAGATAATTTGATCTTGTTTACTTAAATATTATTTAAATGTATATGAAGTTAAGGGTTTTTGGTCAAATAAATACTTTTATAGAAAAGTGTCAGTTTTTGTTCTTCAAGTTTATCATTTTTTTGAGTTTCTTATCTATATAATTAAAATGTTTCTTATCGATTTTTGGATAGTTAGATTCCTTAATTACTTAGCTTTGTAACTGTTTTTTTATTTAGCACTTAAAATTTGCGAATGAGAGGTGTTTTTAGCTGGAAGCGCCGTATTTTAGAATTCATTGTATGAAGTCATATGAAACCTCGTAGGTTATAGCCGCACCGTACGCGCGTTTATGCGTATTCGGTAGGTATCCGAATATTGAAGGACGCATGCTGATGATGTCATATAATGCGGCGCGTTCAGTGCGTGCTGATACTCAGTGTTGTCTAAAGTTACCAAATTAGTAGATTTTCCACTAAAACTGGTGATTTCGACTTTCGTTTTTAAATACATTTTTACTTCATTTCACAAAACACAGATAAAAAATGATAACTAATTTTAATTCGAAAACACAATTATATTTGATTACTTAATTATTAACAAAAATACTTACCTCAAATATAAAACAGGTCTTTCTCGTGGTTCAATTGAACTTCTAAATCTTGTGTTTTCCATAGACAGATATGCTTTTAGTATATGTAGCAATTCTTGAAATTTCTTGTATATTAAATGCAAATATCTAAAAATCGTGTAATAAATAAGTCTTTAAATAAAATATAATATTCTCAGACTGTTATAACATTTTTTCCATAGCGATTCGTGCGATCAATGTCACTGTAACTTTTCACACCAGTGTTCGGAAAAATCTGCAAAAATTGTTGGTAATACTAAAGAATTGCGTACGACGCGTACGTTGCGGAAAAAATGTGCGCTCAGATTTTATCACCAAGGTCGGAAGTGGTTAATAAGCTTTTACAAGCCACGACGTCGCTGACGGTTGGCCGAAAGTTGGCGGCGCCGTTTTGGCGCTTGAGTGTATAAGAGTGTTTTACCAAAAACAGCTGTTCTTAGCGTTAATAATTAGTAAGCTTTAACAAAGGTAAAATGGTTTGATAAATTATGTAATTGTTAATAGTACTCCAAACTAATAATTATACAACACACATTTTTATACAACGTTTACTTAAACCAACTTAAGCAAAACTGGTTCACAGATTCATGATGAATTAATTTTTTTAAGTATTTTTATTTCAGTTTAGTATTATTAACAAATTTACAAAAAAAGGTCTTATTTTATAGTAATAAAACGAATGTGCATTCGACGCGATAACTTTTTTATACATGTCAACCACTGTTACACTGTGCTGTACAGTGCTCCAGGGGTCGACCCATAAAAAGATATGTTTTTTAATGTTGGAAAAATATTAGATACATTTTTAATGTAACGAATTATACGACCTTAAACTCGTTACGGTTACCGAAAAAGCCTATTAAAATATGAGGATAATTGCCCTGTGATTTGTTTCCTTCTGTCGGCTCTTACGACACTCACGGGATGATATGAGGTGACGAATATTCTTACACCGCCACTATATTCCTTAGTTCACTTAAAAAGATGTGAGCCGTGGTAGCTCAGATGGTTAACGCTCGCTGTAAATATAACAGAACGCGAGTAACCCGGGTTCGATCCCCGCCGGCACCAATGAAATTGTTAATTGCAATTTTAAGTGCTGATTTACCACGTGCTCGGCGGTGAAGGAAAGTATCGTGAGGAAACCTGCATGTCTGAGGAATAAGAAAAAAAATTATTTCGAAGACATGTGAAGTTCGCCAACACGCATTAGGGCAGCGCGGCGGACACTACCTTGCCCTAAAACCTTCTCAGAAAATGAGGGGAGGCCTGTGCCCAGCAGTGGGACTTATATAGGCTGTAACTTTACTTTACTATTTTTACTTAAAAAGATTAAATAAACTCCGATAAAAAATACATTAATTACACAATAACACTTGTGCTACGAAATCACAACTAAAAAAAAACTTTAAAATTAATTTACATATTTAAATATAAATATAAATATTAATTAATAGCTTGTAAGGTACATATAGTTAAGTGCCTAGTGAAATATCTTAATAGTATAAAACGAAGTAAGTTTTAGCCTACTTCAAAAAGGAGGATGTTCTATATTCAACTATATGTTGTTTTTTGTAAATATATTACTCGATAACTTCGTCAACTGTCAACCGATTTTAATGGTACTGACGGCACCGTAGCGCAGTAGCTTAGCAATGAGTTATAGCGCTGAGGGCCGCGGATTCGAATCCCGCACGGTACAAGTATTTGTTCCGAGTCTGGATGTTTGTCTTTATGAATTTTATGTATGTAAACTGCCCTCAACATGTGGAAGAAAATTCTAGTGTAGAGGTAATGTTTTATAAAAAAAAGATGACAAAGAGATAAACCGTAAAACAGAACTTAAGTAAAGTTATGGTCTATACGTCCCATGAATAGGCACAGGCCTATCTTCTAATAGAGATTTAGAGCAATTGGTTCACCTTCCTGCTCATGTGCGAGTTGGCGGACTTCAAATGTGCATCAGTGCAGTTTATGTATGAAAACTGCCTCCATGAAACAGGAGAAAATTCTAAGGTGGGGGGGGGGGGGGTAAGTAATGTTTTTTAAAAATATTAAGAAAAAAATTATATTCTTTTTTTTTTAAAAAAAAAGACCGTAATACGAGTATAGGATATATATAATAATTTTTAATTTATTTAATTCAAAGAGACATTCGAGGTTATAAGGTATTCCATAATCCACTCAAAAGAGCAATAAAATTAGACTCCTAACAAAAAGCAAAAGTCGAATTCGATAAACTAGATTGTACCACGAAAATCTCTTATCACTGATTATATCACTTGTGTGATGACGTAATTGTATGTAAACTTCGTTTAAGTACTGATATATAAGACTGATTTCGTGTACAATGAATCATTTGTCGAAACGATATCCTAACTATCTATTAAAATGTTTATAAAAAAATTATTTTTAATCTTATGCGCTATAAATATTAGCATTGAAGCAGCAAGAATTTTGGCAGTATATCCATGTCCTTCAATAAGTCATCAAATAGTCTTTCGGCCCCTAACAATGGAGTTAATTAAGCAAGGACATGAAGTTACAGTGATAACTACAGATCCTCAATTTAAAAATGACACTGCTCCGAAAAATTTAAGAGAAATTGACGTCCACGATATCTCATACATGGTTATGAAGGATTTCACTCTTACTGTTACCGGAAGTGACGATGATTTGACGAATCAAATTATTGCAGTGACTAAAGTAATTCACGACGCATTTAAAAAACAAATGACGGTGAAATATGTTCGAGACCTAATCAACCAGAAAAAACAACAATTCGATTTGTTACTTATGGAAGCGTTTTTCGTACCTGTGCTGGCGTTTACACACATTTTTAAGGCACCGACCGTTTTAGTAAGCACTTTTGGAGCAACCATAGGTACTTATGAAATAATGGGAGCGCCAACGCATCCTACATTGTACCACCACAATTTTCGTCAAAGATTATATAATTTAAATTTATGGGAAAAAGTGACTGAACTATACAAATATTTTCGATTTCGATACATTTTTAGTTCCAACGAAGAAAATTGCAACAAACTAATTAAAAGTATATTTGGTCCTGACACTCCACCTCTAGCAGTTTTAAAAAATAATGTTGATCTATTATTGTTAAATATTAATCCAATTTGGGAAGAAAATTATCCAGTACCACCAAACGTCATACACATAGGAGGATTACACCAAACACCACCAAAGAAATTACCAAAGGCAAGTTCGTTTCTAATACGTTTTTTATTTGACCTGTTGTATGTATGCCATCATTACAATCCTTCACAAGTCCACTGCTGAACATAGACCTCCCCCAAGGTATGCCACAAAGCACGGTCCTGAGCCACATGCATCCATCGACTTCCTGCATGTCTTACCGGGTCACCACTCCATCTAGTGGGGGGTCACCATATACTTCGCCTACTACGGTACGAGGCTGCCACTCGAAAACCTTTTTTCCTAACGGTTTTCGGTTCTTCGAGCTATATCGACGGCCCATTGCCACTTCAGCTTACTAATCCGTTGGGTTATGTCGGTCAGTCTAGTCAACTACGGATATCCTCATTTCTAAGTTTATCACGCAGAGAAACCCCGAGCATATACCTCTCCACAGCTCGCTGAGCGACCTTGAGGATCCTCATACGGCCAGCATTGAAGGACCATATAAAAGTGTAAATATATTAAATATATATAAAAACATGCACATATTTTATTGTTATGAAATCTAGCAAATTCTGTTGGTTTAACTAGTTTTGTTTAAAGTTTTTAGTGCCACAGAACAAATTTAAATTTTCTTGTGTAAGTTTTAGTAGCAGAATATAATGTTATTATTAAAACTCACTTCCCTTAATTATGCTGATGTTAATTACCTCGTTTCAAGTGTGTATTTACCAAGTCATAAGTAAATATAACTTATATATACACTATTACCGCACTAAGTTCAAGTAGCTTCCAATTCGTCTTTGTCGGAAAACACATCACGTTCTTTCTGCTCCTTACTGCATGTTATTTACAATACCTTTCATGTTATTTAAATTACCATATTCCACCCTATCTTAAAGAACGTTTTAATGTTTCAGCGCCTATTATATTTTTTCCTTGTGATCCGAGGAAAACCTTTCGCACTATTCTTAATTATATGTTAAATGCTTTTCAGTTTTTAGATTAAAACTTTTAGAATACTTAACTTTTTCAATTAAACTTGATAAGGATTGATCACTTTATACATTCGTTTAAGAAACAGGTTAAGGAGCATTATTTGTATTTCTAAGCCCTCCCCCTTCCTTATTTAATTTGCGAACACCGAACTATCGTCTATTCTTTTGTGTTTTCAGTGCATAATTATTATCATTAATTTGTTTATATAGTGCGACCTAACCGTTGGTCTTTCTTCTCTATTTTTAATTGTTTAATTGTTGTCTGGGACAAATTGCTTTGTACAGCAATAAGATAGCAGTATGTTTTTCAGCATTTATATATTTTGCTATTTACAAATACGTGTATGTATTTATTTAAATAACTTAAAAAATTAAAAAAAATTGATTTTACACCAATAAAACCAAGATTTTCAGTTAGAATATTGTAACTGTTAATAACTTTTGACTAATATTTTGAACGAATATCGATATTAAAATATGTAATAATTCCGTAAACGAAACATTATATTTGTATATAGTAATTTATTTTCGTCCAGCTTTAGATTGGGCTAGAATATTAAAGAGCAAAAAATTAGTGTCCTCATTTCAAACTCGCACACTCCCATGGTGTAGAAATTACGAATAGCATTGCCCAGGTAAGTCAAGCTTGTTGCGTTGTGCATGAAAACAATCGAATTTTCTTGGAAATGATCCCGTGATTTTTCACCCCTAAATCCTTGTAAATTTTATCAGACGTTTTATAAAATTACGCTTACAAACAATATTTATATATACATATATATTATAAAAATAATTATATAGTTGTAAAGGTTCAACCACCATTTTTGTACATGGTACATACACAGTTTCTTAAATAGAACATTATTACTCAACTATTGACAATACGTCAAATGTTTGTATTACCTCAGTCTCTACAACTAACAGTCGGTCACCGATGACGTTTACGCCCTTAGCATACGAGTCGTAAGCGTAGTCGTATCGTAAGCGTATTGTTACGACGCAACGCGTACGAGACCGTTCTTCAAAATTGTGTTCTACAAACGAATCGTCGAGTAGACGTATCGTTTTGTAAATTTTCGCGATTCAAAATTCAAAATTCTAATTCAAGATTCTAAATTTCACGAGTTTAATCGCTTTTTTAGTCGTTTTCTTACCTATTGAAATTAGAAGTCGTAAGAAGTTAAAAAAATTAAAATTCTGTTATATTTTTAAAGAAATTAGTGAACAGTTAATTTTTTATGCCTGCTTTTTTACGCCAGAGGCTTAGGCGGGGCAATCAATCAGTACACAGCGGGACGAGACGCGGCCGGAGTGCTACTGAGCGGTTGTCCTGTTGGCCGCACGGTAACAGGTCCCTAGGGTTATCCTGTCACGCAAATATATTAAAGTGGTTCACACTAGACATGTGGAAAAAATGTGGGTTGTCCAATTAAAGTTTCATCAGTTCCCACATACGCAAGAATTTGTTTCAACGTGAAATAAAATAAAACCAGAGTTTTATTTATTACTTCCCGTTAAGACAAATACAGCAGTTTATTACACTAGTCCAAATACAACACAGTAAATATAATACATTTCTAAGTTTTATGCATGTATGGCCTCACCTATTCATCGAAATTTTGAAATCAGAAAATTTTATTTCAGCACTAAGTGAAACTCGGTCTTTGAGTACTATATATTATTTCTTTTAATAGTCGGCGATCAAAAATATATATTATCTAATATGGAACAACGCACACCATTTTACATTTAGGTGTATTATATTCATAATATGTATATATTTTATCAATCTGGCCCCTTCAAATGGATTAGGTTAGTCGGGCATTATAAGTCTTAGTTATAAGGTGCGTGAACAGTTTCATGAATTAAATTTTTATTTAAGTTGACACTACGCTTAAATTGCTATCATGAACCTGACATAAAGTGTATTGCAGGATATTCAGCAATATCTGGATGCTTCACAAAACGGTGTCATTTACTTCAGTTTTGGAACCAACGTTCTACCATCTTCTTTATCTCAAGAAAAAATTAAAATATTTGAAAATGTTTTCTCACAACTTCCATATAATGTTATATGGAAATGGGATAGTGATGAAAAATCCGTAAAATCAAAAAACATAAAAAAATACAAATGGCTACCACAATCAGATCTTTTGAGTGAGTAATTCAAATTAACATCTGACGATAATTTTTATAATAAAAAGATAAGCATGGAACAAATTTGAAAATAGAAATACAATTAACAACAGCGTACAATTGCTCTCTACTTTTCAGGACATCCAAATGTGAAATTATTTATAACTCAAGGAGGTTTACAATCGACAGACGAGTCGATCACTGCTGGTGTACCACTTATAGGCATACCAATGTTAGGAGACCAGTGGTATAATGCAGAAAAATATGTTCATCATAAAATTGGTATCAAGCTTTCCTTAGAAAAACTTACTGAAAATCAATTGAAAAATGCAATAATAGAAATAATTGAAGATAAAAGGTAAGAACTATATTTTTGTTTACATTAATTTTTTTTAAACTACATCCTTCATACAAACAAAAGTAGTTTTGCAGTTAAAAGATGAGAACAGCGTATAAAGAAGTTAAATAAAGTTCAAGCCTATTTACGTCCCACTTGTAACCACTCTCATTCCTAAAAGGGTTGTGGAGCAATTTGTCTGCCTTGCTGCTCTTGCTCGCTTGCCTTACTGGAAGTGAGTGTATGGTGAAATTCAAATGTCTTCAAATTTCTTTTTATATAAAAGGGAGAAAAGAGCATTTTTTTATAGAAGAGGGGGCAAACGAGCATGCGGCTCAGCTTATGTTAAGTGATTACCGCCGCCCATGATCAACCGCAACACCAGGGGAATTGCAGGTGCATTGCCGGCCCTTTAGAAAGGAGTAAGCTCTTTTCTTGAAGGTCCCCAGGTCGTATCGGTCCGGAAAAATCGCCGGTGGTAAACTATTCCACAGAAAGGTTGTACGCGGAAGAAAACTCCTTTTGAAACGTACAGTGGTGGACCGCCAAGCATCCAGATGGTGTGGATGGTATCGGGATATTTGCCGCGTAGTGCGTTCACGAAATTTGGAGGCTGGGATTAATCCGAACAATTCCTCAGAGCACCCTCCATGGTATATGCGAAAAAAAATGCAAAGAGATGCAACATCTCTTCGCAATGCCAGTGAATCGAGCCGATCGGAAAGCACTCGGTCGTCGACGATTCGAGCCGCTCTGCGCTAGATGCGGTCAAGTGGAAGGAGCTGGTACTGGGGAGCCCCAGCCCAGAGATGGGAACAGTATTCCATGTGCGGTCGAACCTGCGCCTTGTAAAGTTGCAGGCGGTGTGCCGGCATGAAATACTGTCCCGCTCTGCTGAGCACGTCAAGCATTTTAGAGGCCAATTTGGCCTTCCCTTCCATGTGACCACGAAACTGCACGTCACTCGATATGTCGACGCCGAGGATTCCAATACTGGCTGAGGCAACAAGGGAAGTGCCTTGAAACTGAGGTGATACGACAAAGAGGTTCTTTTTAGCGGTTGACGCGCAAACTTGTGTCGTCTGGAGGTTAAACTGGACTAGATTTAGTCGCCCCCAATCCGAGACTCTGTGCAGCAAAGACTCAACTTCAGACACAAGTTTATTCCGGAACTCGGAGACGTTTTCCCGAGAAATATTGGCTCGACCGGTGTAAAGAGCATCACCAGTGCTGTCATCTGCATAGCAATTAATGTTACGTGTTTGCAACATATCATTGATATGCAGCAGAAACAGCGTAGGCGATAGCACGCAGCCCTGTGGAACACCAGCATTAATAGGCTTGCAATCGGAGCTTGCACCGTCAATAACGACCTTGATACTCCGATCTGCAAGAAAGCTGGTGATCCAATCGCACAATTTCTCGGGAAGCCCATAGGAAGGGAGCTTCGAAAGAAGCGCTTTGTGCCAAACCCGATCGAAGGCCTTCGCAATGTTCAAACTAACGGCCAATGCCTCCCCCTTGGACTCTACTGCCTCCGCCCATCTGTGAGTTAGGTAGACCAGAAGATCACCAGCTGACCGACCACGGGGAAAACCGTATTGGCGGTCACTAATCAGCTGGTGATCCTCAAGGTACCTCATGAGCTGGCAGTTTATAATGGACTCCATTGTTTTGGAGAACAAGGAGGTGATGGCGATAGGCCGGTAGTTGGACGGGTCTGAGCGGTCGCCTTTTTTAGGGATCGGAAGGACGAAAGCCGTCTTATATGATTTTGGGACTACGCCTAGGGAGTAGGAGTACCGGAAAATACGCGTTATAACCGGTGCCAACTCTGGAGCACACGTCCTCAGCACAATTGGGGGGATTCCGTCAGGCCCACTCGACTTGTGGATGTCCAGGGAGAGGAGTGATTTGCGAACCGAGCGCTGTGTGAACTGCCCTTCCGGCATGGAGCACTCACACCACCGGATGGTCGGCGGCATACTCCCCCCGTCATCGAGAGTCGAGTTAGACGAAAAGAAAGAGCCTAGAAGATCGGCTTTCTCCTTTGCGGTATGGGCCAGTGAGTCGTCCTCCCTGTGCAGAGATGGAAGAGATGGCTGACAGAAATTCCCCTGGACAGCCTTGCCGAGAGACCAGATGCACGGGTTCCAGAAGGAAGGCGAACTAGTTTCTCGCCAATTCTGCCTATGTGCTCTGACTTTGCCTTGGCAATGACTCTTTTGAAGGACCTGGAGGCGGAATTATACTTCTTTTTTAGAGCGCTGGTATTTACATCCCGGGACGCTGATGCGTCAGCCCAGGCCTGGTAGCACTCCTGCTTATAGCATGATGCTATTTTACAGGAGCGACCAAACCATGGCTGTGATTTGCCTCCAACGGGCACCACAGAGGAAGGAATAAAAAGTTCCATACCCTGAAGTACCACATCAGCGACAGAATCCGCAACAACGTTGGGATCGTCCGGCGAGGAGCAAACCCGCCCCCCAAGGGTGGGATGCAAAGAAAGACCGCATTCCATCCCAATCGGCTGACCTATAGTGCCAAACACGGCGGCAGCCTGCATAATGCAACCGCGATTTCAGCGTGAGTGGCGCTACACTCCGGACAAGACAATGGTCCGAGCAGCCTAAAGGGGCGTCGACGGAAATCTGATATCCGTCCGGGTGAGAGGTCAGCAGAAGGTCCAATAGGAAAGGTGCATGATCCTCCACATCTGGAATCCGCGTAGGCGAAGTAACCAGTTGTGTCAGACCATATGCCAAGGCAAAATCATGAACAGATCTCCCCGCATGTGGCTGGCCTGGAGATAAGTGACTACCGCAACCCATGAGCAACTGTAATACCTACCAAGTGTTGTTCCTATCTACCAAAATCCCACATTGGTTTCCTGAGTTTTAACGTAGGATCACCAATTCTGGCGATCCCAAAGGCTACTTTTGTGGTAGGCCGTCACTATTTAAAATCAAAGTGAGCCATTACGAGGCAGTCTTTCGCCCTTAAACTATCTTTACACACATGGCTCCGACTTAATTTATAATAAAAAGGATACTAATGCGTTATCACTTCCGAGCGCTATGATGAAATATTTCGTAATATGTAATTGTACTTATTTTAAAGAGCCAAACTAGGTCATAAGGTGTAACGAAATGGGTGCTCTATTTCTTGGTGGCAGTTATAATATTGGTAAGAGGACAGGTGCTATCCAAATACATTTCGGAGCAAAAGAGGACATTACACTACCATGTAATAATTTCCCTTTTTTAGTTATCGTGAAAACATCATACGACTCCGCTCCTTAATGCAAGATCAACCGCAGGCGCCCCTGAATCGTGCTGTATGGTGGATAGAATACGTACTGCGACACGGCGGAGCTAAACACTTGCGATCACCAGCTGCAAATATGTCGTGGATTGAATACTATGAATTAGAGCTTGTCTTTATACTTCTATCTAGTATTTTGATATTTATAGGATTAATAACTTTTCTCATAAAATTTTCAATATCGTGTGCTTCTAAATATGTAAAAGAAAAACTATCGTAATATTATTTGGTTTGTATAAAGATTTATTAATTAGTAGTAATAGTTTTTTCTTATAAACTAGGACTATAGATGTAATAAAATATCCTCATTCTCACAGCTCGATGGGTCGGTGAACCACCACACTCGAAAAGTTTGAACCACGCGTCGGTCGTAAATCAGTTCAAGGGGTTAGTTGTCAAAAAATAATCAGTACCAACTCTGAGTTACGAAAATGACGGTGATTCTCCTCAGAGTCTCGGCAATCATATGGAGCCAATGGTCTTGCACCGGATGCAGTCGATTCGAATTGCCATCCCATAGCGCTATGAGAGAAAGAGCGTGTAAAGACTGCACAACATACCTTTACATTATATAGTATATATACCACTGTTGAGTATCAAGCTCCACTTGTGCTGGTGGAATTCTAGAATTAAAATAAATACTTCGATATGTAGACTGTATAAGTGATTTAATAGGCTCTGATACAATATATTATAAGAGTAGCCGTTATGCGTGCGTTCGCGTTGGGTGGTTCCGAGCAAGAGAGCTGCGTAGTAGTGTCGCGCTATGTCCACGATGGTGGTGGGGCTCATAGAACCGGTTTCACGCTCGCTGCTCGGCGATACGAGCCGGGGAGTACGGGGAGTACGAAAGGCTGTGACGTCAGGAACATATACCCCGTGTTGAAGCAAGAAGGCTTCAAGACGACGCAGGAGACACCAGAAGAGGGCAGATGTTATTAAATGCCCTTGTAATTGTTCCCTTTGTGGTGAAAATGTCGGCAACTCTTGTACGACCGTCAGATCGTGGTCTTACGGCGATCACTCTGTCCATCAGCCAAAGAAGAGGAGCTCGGTTGGCGTCCTTCACTAAAACCATGGTGCCTGTCTTCAGCCCTTGATCAGCGGTCTTCCACTTCATTCGTTGTTGTAAAGCAGTAATGTACTCCTTGGAAAACCGGTGCCAGAAATGCTGCTGAAGTCTTTCGACTCGCTGGTAGCTTGGAAGTCGCTGGATGTTACTGTCAGCGATCTGTGGATGCGGAACTGATGTGAGTGGTCGTCCGATCAGGAAGTGAGACGGGGAAAGATAGGAGAGATCAGAAGAATCTAAGGATAGAGGGGTCAACGGTCTGGAATTTAAGATGGCCTTGCCTCATAAGTAGGATGTGTAAGACCGAGTGTGAGACGTAAAAGATGTTTGGTCGACTTTACTGTTGCCTCCCAAATGCCCCCAAAATGAGGTGAATAAGGTGGTATAAATTTGAATTCTATGCCCTGGTTTGCAATATAGGACTCTATTTCATTGTGAGGTAATTGTAGAAATCGTCTTAGCTCATTGAAAACTCCTACAAAGTTAGTGCTGTTGTCGGAGTACACGCGCTGAGGCTTGCCACGAAGTGCGACAAACCGATTAAAGGCGGCAAGAAAAGACTCCTTCGTTAAATCGGAAACCAATTCAAAGTGGACGGCTCTAACTGCAAAGCACACAAAAACACAAATGTATGATTTTAATAACTTACAACCTCTGCCTTTACGGTCGGCTATTAGCACTAGTCCGGCAAAATCTAAGCCTGTCGTTAAAAATGGGAAATCAAGTTGCGTCCTATCACTAGATAGGTTACCCACAATTACCTGGGTGGGCTTGCCTTTTACGCGAGTATATCGAGTACAAGTTCGTACAATTTGTTTTGCTAGGTTTCTACCACAGAGGGACCAATATGTTAGTCTTACATTTGCTAAAAGTAGTTGAGGTCCTGCGTGAAAGAGAGAGAGGTGGTATGATTTAAATAATATTTTAGTTAGGTGATGTTTACTACAGAGTAATATGGGATGCTTTACATCGTTAGAGTGCTTTACATAGCTAGAGTTTTGAAGGCGTCCGCCTACACGTAATATATTACAAGAATCAATAAAGGGAGAGAGGCTAATAAATCTATTTTTACTGTGGGGAACATTTCCTGTTGAGCACATTGTAAAATTAAATTTTGTGAACGCTGTAATTCTGAATAAGACAGGTGAGATAAAATTTTGTTATTGGGAAATCTGCAATTATAAATAATTATAAATATTATTACATTATGTAGTATATATAATGTAAAGGTGTAGTATATATAAATATATATAAAATTATACGTATACTAAATTCCGAATTCTTTTATCTACTCTAAAATTTTATCTTAGATAACATTGCAAAGCTGTAAAACATTTGTCTAGAAACAAAACTGAGTTCTATGTTTTTTTTAACTCTATGTTTACAAACTTTGCCTAATAATCATATACTTTAACTTAGCGGTTTCTAATAAAGCGCTGAAAAAGTTTGGATGAAATTTGGTCGGTAGGTTATGTTTTATTTAACCTACATAGGTTTTACCTCTGAGAAAACATAATATTTTTCAAATGCCGAGCAAAGCTCCATCTTCGAGGCACCGAGTAGCTAAAATATCGCAGCGCTTATGTAGGATATTATAATAACTTATCACTCGTGACACGCCGCTATTGATTGGTAATGGGTTAGTGTGACAATTTTATTCTTTCACCCTGTTTGAAAATTATGCTAGCTGGTACCAGGCACGTTGATCCTGCAGAACAAATAAATGTGGTAATATAGTTTTATTAGTAATGAAAACACATTCTTTGAAACTGAATGTTATAACATTCAGTTTATATATTAAAACTTTCAAATATATTTGTTGGGTTAAAACGCATGCCACCTACATATTAGAATTAACCTACTATGCCTGCTACCGTCGCACAAGTTCAAACAGTTAGTTGATAAATATACGAACTGCGCATAAAAACGAACAAACATTAATTTTTAAATATTAGATTAGAAATTATTTTTATAGAAATAAGTTTAACTAGCACACACCACCCACCTGATGGTAAGTGGAAGCTTTGGCCCATTGACACCTATGTCTATCTAAGATGGAACGCTTCGTTACCAGTAAAAGGCTCTACACGTAAAAATCTATGTGTTAATATATATATATATATATATATATATATATATATATATATATATATACATGCATAAATTTATAAATAAACAAATTGCAAATATCATTATTCTAAGAAAGAAAAAATAAATTGGGATTTAATTTATTATGATTTTACAGCAAGCGGTCCTGTAGGGAACTGGTGCAGTGTACAAATTAATTGAGTTAAGCTATCTTGCTGAACCACTGCATTGGTTTCTTTAAAGATTTAGTATCTTAAGATTTTACTCTACTACTCTAGCTACTAGCACTAGCACACAGTCTAGCTGATGGTCCTAAATGTTTTAACCCATAGACATCTACATCTATTTTCGATTAATAATAAAACTATAGATTCGTTGTCACCCCCCAATGGCAAAAATGTAATGCCTATTTTCTGGTAAAATGTCTCTCTCGAAATACAACGCAAAGCAACATTGAGAAGCTATATAACGCTTGTACTAGGCTGCACTAAAAGTATCGGGAATGGAATATTTCCACTATTCCTGTCATGTTAAAATCTTTTTAATTGAAAAATCCTTGGTTTTAAAAATCGAATACCATTTATTTATTTAAAAAAGATTCGCGGTCTTGTCACAAGGTTTTATCAAACTTGTTTAGTCGTTGAGAAAATGGAATTGACTCGATAAAATTCAAGAGCGATGATTTATTATGACTTTCGAAGTGGTTTAACACAAAAACAGTGTATTGAACGGATGATTTCTGCATTTGGTGATAAAGCTCCAAAACCACAATTTATCGCCGGTTTGCTAAATTTCAACTTGGACGTGGCAAGCTCAGTGATGATCCCCGTCAAGGTCGTCCAAAAATTGCAGTCACCCAAGAAAACGTTGATGCTGTGCATAAGCTGATTGAGGAAGATCGACATGTGATATACCGCGAAATTCAGGCAACTTTAGACATTGGCATGAGTCAAATATAAATAATCTTGCATGAACAATTAGGTGTAAAAAAGTTGTGAAAATGAGTTAAAACCAACAAAAATTGTTCGTTCACGGAGTGTTGCAAAAAAAATGGTGGCCACGTTTGTCTCCAAAACCGGCCATGTTACGACTATTCCTCTTGAGGGACAAAGAACGTTTAATGTGGAATGGTATGCTAGCATTTGTTTGCCACAGGTCGTTTCTGAACTCCGTAAGGAGAACTGCAACCGCCGCATCATCCTCCATCACGACAATGCGAATTCTCATACCGCACACAGAACAAAAGAGCTTTTAGAGCAAGAAAATATAGAATTACTAGACCATCCGCCGTACAGCCCCGACCTAAGCCCTAATGATTTCTATACTTTCCCTAAAATAAAGAATAAATTGTGTGGACAGAGATTTTCATCACGTGAAGAAGCTGTGGACGCCTACAAAACGGCCATTTTGGAGACCCCAACTTCCGAATGGAACGGTTGCTTCAATTATTGGTTCCATCGTATGGAATAATGTGTCAAATTTTGCGGAAAATACTTCGAAAAGCAATAAATACATTTTTAAATAGTAATGTTGTGTCACTTCCTTGATTCCCGAAATTTTCAGTGCCGACCTCGTATTCTGTGAGAGCATTGTCATTCCACAGATTATAATACTCGTATAACTGCAGCATGGCTCTACTACGTAGAAAAATAGGGAAGTGCACTAATAAGTGTTTGTATATCATAACTGATCTCTCTTAGTTTTGACTTGCGTTGCGTACTGCAGTATACTTTATACGTTCGACCTCGCTAGAACGGGTAGGCATTATTTCAGTTCTACCGTAATGTTTTCTTTATCTTAAAATTTATTTACATACTGTAGAGATCGGAACAAAAGTTAAATTTTAATCTATGATAACCGCGGTTAACTATGACATATGGACGTTGAACATCTCAGTCCCGCCCGTGACCATGAGTGCTGTAAAGCGTTCGAAACGTCGGGTATTTAAAAAGTTAAATATACGCGATAAATTCCGTAAAAAACTAGTATTATTTCAATGTGTAGTGTTCGCGTAAATATACGATCTTCCTTGCTTACACTAGAAGAACTACTACAACAGA